CATTCAAAGATTTGTTTAAATTATGTAAATGCGTATTTGCTGAATGCTGACGGCAAACGAGAAAGTATTATAATGTATGACTTTCTATCACTAATAATATAAAAGCAATCGTTATAATACTTTTTAATTTTAAGTTTATAATACATTTTAATTCCTTTGTTTAACAGTTCTATCGGATTATTAGACAGACTTCTATCCGTATTAGACAGAACTGTTAAAGACGACGGCGAACAAGAGGGAGAATGTGAGCACTGTGCTCAGGCGCTGCCGCTCTCAGCGCCGTCAAAATAAATGTCCCGTCTCCAACGCATCGGCCAAACAGAAAAACGTATCGGCCGATGCCGATATTTGAAAAATGCCAAATATCGGCCGATATATCGGCCTTGGCGATATATCGGTCGACCATTATTTTCAAGTAAAGCTGTCAGATGTAAATGACACATTAAAATCATTGAACCAAATTCTTATATTAACTGCCAATGCAATCAGCTAATTCAGTTACCTGATGGGTAATTCTTGGGGTCCAGTGATAATTTCATTTTCAGAAAGCACCACAACAATAGGTGTATATGAAAGCCCTAAAAAAAAAATAAAAAAAAATAAACTCACCTCAGGCATTGAGGCCACTTTTATTATTTCAGCATTTTCTGATATGAACAGCATTTATCTTAAACCTTTTTACAGAAAACACTGAGGTTTTAGAAAATAAATTATTTATTTTTATAGAAAAAAATCTAATTAAATAAATTACAAAAGTATATATACATTTAAAAATAAATTAAAAACATATTAAAATATAAACATTAAAATGTTAGAAATAGAAATGTATAAAAAATGTCAAAAAATGTATATATAATTTATACACTTAAAATTATACACTTAACTGAAGTTAGCATAATAGAAAACATTTATATTTATATACAATTATACACATATTTGTTTTTAAAAATAAGTATAATATATTAAAATTCTATAATTTGTCTAAATTAATTTAGATACAATAAATAATATTACTTTATATATTATATTATATTATATTATATACTGAAGCACAAATTCGACAAATTGTGAACTAGCTTCCATATTTATCACACTGATTGTAGTAACCAAACTGCAGGTCACAACCTGGATTATACTACTGGATTTCTTGCTGTGCACAGAGAAAAAAATCTTGTGAAATTTAACTTGTCAGTGTAACAGTACCCTATTAAAGGTGGTATCTACTGTAACTGTATTTACTGCAGCTCATCTTGATGGAGGTGATGACGCTGCTCTAGGGGAAGCGTTTGCAGTACGGTAATTGATTACGGCAAGACAATGAGGGCTGATTCTGTGCGCCCCACTCTTTCATCACTCACACGAGTGAGAACAAGCAGCCGGCCCCACGGGGGGAGTTATGGGAGTCCTCAGAGGGGCTGTGAGCCTGTCAAATTATTTCCCCCTCCAACGAACGACGGTTTCAGCAGTCTTCAACACCCAGCGGGAGGGGGGAAGTCACTTCTGGTCCACTGACACAATGGCGCTATTGAAGGAGGCTCCGACAAAGACTTTGCCATTAATCAAATTACAATAATAAAGGCTCACTGTTACATGCAAACGTGGCGAAGGCTCAACAGTAGGGCTGTCAAAAAAAATTCGAATTTCGAATATTCGTCGAATTTAAAATAAAAGTCCGCATTCGAATTTTAGGTGTGCATTAAGGAGGCAACCTTATCAGTAGCACACAAGATGCGATGACGATGTAAGTGTGATTGCATTTTAATGTTTTTCTTAGCCTATCCACTTGATGCAATTGTTAATTACAAATATTGCGGGAAAAGAGAACATCAATGCGGAGAAGATCTTGTTTACATTAAAACTGAAACCAAGCCGTTTACACAGAATGCATATTTTGCGCATTTTCTAGACGGACATCTATTACTGTTGCACTCGTGTCTCGCACAAAAGAGCCGCATGTTTAGAAAGCCATGTAAAATTAATGCAAGTTTAACTTTTAATGCAAGTTTAACTTATCTCGAGACTTTATGGCGGGGGTTTTTCCCCATCCCACTGCAACTCGTGTTTTTAAATGAAAAATGTACTCTGTGTGATTGGCTTTCCGCCCTTTGTATTAAACTATGCATACACACATGATGCTGTTTTGTTTATAGTTGTTTTGGTTGACTCTTAACTTTTATAAAGAATATCTCTTTGGATTTGAGACTTTAGTCTTTGCAACTTTACAGATCTTCTTTATGCACCAAGAGCTTGTAACACTCCAAAGAGAAAGGAAAAATTTCAATCGCATCATATGACCCCTTTAAGTAAAAAATTTGAATTTAGTTTTTCAGCCATTTTGACAGCCCTACTCAACAGTGTGAAATCTGATGCGAAGCATTTGCCCCACGCTTGCTGAATTCAACCAACTTATCCCTCTTGTTTATTTCCAAAAGACTCTATGACCTCTGGCAGAGGAAAAACGGCACAGAATGAACCTCGGTGTGTAACTTTCTGGTCCACAGCACAGTAATCTAGCCATGCTGGATGATTTGGAAAACACTTTCAGATTCCTTCACCTTTACTTCATAACCTGCGGTCTGAAACGAATACATCCACCGCAAGTC